CACCTACCTAGTAGAGACAGGGACGTAATTTTTCAAAATAAACTGAGAAGGGCATTATGGCTATACCTACCCGCAGTAGCGGCGTATCCAGAACAGCAGCCAGTCGAAGAGCAGCCCTCACGCTAATCTTTTGAGAAAGACAAACGGACAGCGGACAATGAGACCCAGCGGACAATCTGCTTCCCCCAAGTCCTCAAGATAATCAACAAAAAGAGATACACTACTGCTCTCGAAAAGCCGTTCAACCGTGAAAGAACATTCGTTTCCTGCTGACATTGTGTAAAATGGTTGTGAAGCTATGTTGTGTTGGAATGCAAACAATATATTTTCACTGGTGATATGGCCACTATATGGCAACACTTAAGATTCGTGGCCATTTCTAGAATTAAAGATTTTCGGAATTAATTACCCGCATATGAGCCCATGATTACTATCAACGTACCATATGTAACCATGTCTTCAAAGACCACTTCAAGACACCCTAATACCACAGGAGTACGAAGTTGCTGAGACTATCAACGTTGAACCGCTGACCTACCAAGGCCAAGTCTGTCGCTGGCAACACCGTGCATCAGAATATCTATGCCATACAGGAAAAGTAAAATCGTTCAGTCATTCTCGTTTCATCTCCGCTTACTAACGTTAACGTTAGCATGACGTCACTGGTGCCGAGACGTCAGAGCGGCGGGCAGCTGGTCGCCGGACGCAATGCTATAGGACAACCGGAGTATCGACACATTCGTGCAGGTGACGAAAAAGCCGCTAGCAGAAGGTGCATGCACCCAGCGAGCCACGTGCGTAGAATCGTATGGCGAATATGATGATGCACTTTGTCAGCCTATGCTGCACATCTTTAAAATACAATGACATTAAAAGTGAAGGCTCCTCAGGAGATGTATTCACAAAAGAGCGACAGGAACACCGGCTGTCTTTATACCCAAGGCGAACAAACTGTCAGTGGCAAACAGGTAAGAACAGCGAGCCGATCACATAAGATTCGACGATGAGAATGATGATGTGTGGGACAACCTTAAGTGACCAGTCATTGTAAAGCACCTAGATCTAACACGGCCTCGTACCTCGTGGTCGTGCCGCCGGCAGTGCGAGCGAGTGGCGAACGTGGCGAACCTGTTATCTGCTGCGGTTGAACAGCGTGACAGCAGCGTGGCGAGTGTGTTGTCTGCTGAAATACAAACCACCTTGCTCGGTCTATACCTGTCAGTGGGACCGGCTATGCTCGGTCCGCACCTGTCTGCGGAGCCGACAGCGCCCGGTCATGACCTGTGCGCGGGCCGACAGTGCTTGGTCCCTACCTGTGCCTGCATGGTTATCACGAGTGTCGTGTCATGTATGTTGCGTTCTTGAGACGTTTGTGCGCGTCGCTATGTTTGACGCCAAACTAGCATGTGGGTAGAATTAGTAGCAGCAAAACTAGGGTGCAGAGCAAGGTACGTATCTGTGATACCATCATTTTTAGTGGGGACAACGTTAACTGTGCAATTGATGAGTCTCTGTGCATTCCATCTGATTGGCAGTGCGCTCAAATCATTACATTTACTCAACCTACGAGCCCGCTTTGTTAGGCCACGACCACTCAAAGGCCACGATAATGTGGACCCACAGACTGCCAGGTGCGCGAAGTCTCATGGGCAGCACGCGAGCCCGTGTGAACCTGGTTCATGGCTGGTTGTGTTTTGGCATCTGTCGCCCCTTGTTCAATCTTCCGTGGCGACATTAGTGCCTCGTAACAAAAGATCGCCTTCTCATGCTAAATACAACTTCTGTAACACCGAGTTACTTAACCTCGCAAAAAATAAATCTACGATTAGCATTCAGCACAGAACCGGCCAGGTCTCGCACAAGCACGGGGGCAACGGAAGTGCTCCAAAAATGGGGGCGGGGGCGATATCCATTTTGTTTGATCACTTCCTTCCGGTCAACGCCCAAAGGGCTCAACGCTAAATTTTAAAAAGTGCGGGTTTGTTCCCTTCCCTATCACCTGCGCCACTATGCAGGCGTGTTCGCTTCCTACGCCGATTGAACCTGAACAGATTTGGTGAACATAACTCACAAAGCACATCACTATGCTTGCCATATAATTCGACCTGATTGGTTCGCGGATATGTGTACCTAGTAGTAATTTTTATTTGTTTATAGTAAGGAAAGAGTCCCATGTTCAGGCTTCCTATATCCACCAGTTCACTGGTGCAAGTTTTCGCTTTTCACGCTGATTGCATTTGAACTACATCTAACCGCACCCGGGAGATGAGCTAGCAATTAACACGTACCCGCGAGGCCGGCTAAATACTCTTCACCCGGGTGTGTGTGTGTGTGGGGGGGGTCATTGTGACACCTTGAGATCTAAAAAATTGAGCTAGCTAGAGACACCAAACTCACAGGGTAGGTTGACCTGTACCTAAACACATTTGTGCCAAAATTTGAGGTTCCTAGGTCATGACCTCAGGTCAAATAGCGTCAAACTCCAGATTGATATCCAAGTGCCCCGAGAACTCCTCCTGCAACCGCCGTGAAGATAGTTACTTGTTCTAAGCAAAACTTCGAGGAGGTCAGTGAACTTTTCTGCTCTTTATAAGGCCAAAGTGACCAATCACCTATGAGATTGTTCATATTTTGTCATTCGAATAAGAGTCGGAGATTGCGCCACGCGGCTTGTTCGTGAAAACGAAAACTGGCCTGGATCAACAATTCTGTGACCTACTTTAACCTTGAAATAGTCCGTGGAACACGTCTGTTGCAGTCCCTGTTTTTAATGAATTAGAGATGAGTACCTGAAACTACCCCATAACGCCATGCTCTCGAGTAAAACCCAAAGTGAGTTTTGACCTCTTTTTCACCTTTGTATCTAACCCCAAGTAAATGGGGTTAGTTGTAATTCTAAATTAAGCTGGTTTATTGCCTAAGAAAGTCCAACACTCCCTAGTTGCATCATGTTGATCGATTCCCTGCAAAGTACCTCCGCTGACACCCATGGCCTGACTTTGACCGGCAGCAGGTCAGCGATCTTACAAGGTGTATCTCATTTGTTTGCATCAAAAGATCCAAAATTCAATTATCTACAGCCGTGCAAGTTTTTGCGCGCCTAGGCCACGCCGTTCGTAAATAAATGTGGAAAAACCTTTGAGTGTCAGTTTCACCCCTACCCAAGCACGTGTTAACATGCGCTCGACCCAGGTCGATCGTGTGGTATCAAAAAATTAGATGTACCTTTTAAGGTTGCTGATCTAGGGCAGGTCAAAGTCAGACCATGGATTCAGCGAAGTCAATTTCTAGGGATTCGTTCAATCTGATAGAACAACGGAATGTTAGACGAAGCCATACACCTGTGAGACGCTTTCTTAGATAACGCAGCAACTGAATGACCAAATTTGATTGAACTGGATCAGCTATGTATTTCAGACCGAGGTCAAAACCATTCTGTTTCTATTATTCCTAGGGCTTGTTATAGGGGGTAGTTTCTGGCGCTTATTTCAAATTTATTAATAACAGGACCGCATTAGAAATCTTTCATGGACTCCTAGAAGGCCAAAATAGGTCACTGACCTAAAATGATCCAAGTCGGTATTTCGTTTTTAGGAGCATACTGCCTAGCGTGATGTTTGTACCTTATTCAAATGCAAAACTCAAGGCAGTCTTCTATGATTCTGGCCACCATGACCTTCGAAAGGTCAAACAAACAAGGTCATTGAACTTGAATGAGCATGTGACCTTTTGCTTAGAACAGGTATTTAGGTTCTGAGGATACCTTTGATACCAACCTGGAGTTTAACATTGTTTGACCCTATTTGACCCGAGGGTTATGACCTAGGATCATCAACATTTGACCTTAGTGAGCTCACATACAGGCCAATACACCCTGTGAATTTGGTGCACCCAGCCCTTTTAGTTCCTGAGATCTCAGAGGGAGGGGGGAATAAACTGACCCCCCACCCAGCGAAGGGCATCCAAGCGGCCACCCAGGCGCGTGTTAACACATCACCGAGCTCCCAGTTAAACTCTAGCACTCGGCTCCCTGTGCAATGTACCTACCCTCAGCGGTCTGCTCATTATCGGGACGAAGGCAGTCCGATGTCCCGGCCGCCCATCTCTGAAGCAATGCTCGCCTAAGTGTTTTCAGTATCCACGCCGTTTTCATTGCAATGGTTTGTCGCATAAGCATGCACAGCGCATCATAATACCCAAACTTGAATATGCCAATGACTCGTGTTTACATGCACCTACCGCAAACAGTTTGCCCACTACCGATGCAACTTTAACGGAATGTCCACCATACAGCCAGGTGGTGTTTTATCAACGCCGGGGTTTTGAAACGCACCCCACGCACATGGGAATGAAAACCGTGGCCTCTGGGAGGACCTGGGCATTATTCACCATTGTACACATACTACAGCCATCCGGAGCCCTGTTGACTACAGTACGTATCATAACTGTTTTCCCTCTCCCCTCTCTCTCCTTCTCCCCTCCCTCCTCATAGGTACGTTTGGTGTGCCAGAGAACGCACTTTTGCCTGCTTCTGAAAGCGTTTGAGTCGTCTACACCTTCTCAAACTGCCTGCAAAAATGCCTCTGACAAATATGCCTTTCTATGGGCTGCTTACTGTGGCTTGTCCAGGAGCCGCTCACGAACGCCACGGCGGGGTTGTCAGTTATATTTTCGGGGGGGGGGGGGCCGGGCGGGCCCGTAAAAACCAAATCCACGAGGGCCTCTGCTGTATTGGATCAGAATGCACGCCCCACTTGTCAGGCATTCCGCCATCCAAGCAATAAAATACACACTTTCCGGTATCAAAATTTGTCTGGGTCAGCACAGACATGGCTGACAGGCAGATGTGCTCAACCACTGTCTGCGCCGCCTGAAGCCTTGCGTGCATCGGAACATCATGCAGATTATGGACCCATCTTTCAAGACCTTTTTGCGCCAGCTGAGATAAGCTCATGACCGGACCATGCAGTAAAACGTTAGGTCTTGAAGGTTCCAGCATCAGTGGTTCGGTTTCATATATTTGTCGGGCGAGACATGTCAAAAGATGGTCTGGGACCCGCACTGTGAACAAAGCAGGTCAAGTGCATGACGGAAGCGTTGCGCTTTTGACAGCCAATTGAATTACTTGGGCCCACGAGATCGACAACGAGGGTACGTTGGCGGGGAGAACCCAAGTCGGATGCATATTCAGTACAGGAGCGACAGTTCCCTCAAGGGTAAAGGTTGGCTCCAACAGTACGCTTTGGCATTTGAGACTATTTTTTCCGTACATCGCCATGGGCTTATGTTCAAAGCCGAAATTACTGCCCGCTCCTCATCCTTTAAGTACACAACGTGACACTCATGACGTGGCAAAGTAGACTTCAGCTCACAATTCTGCCAGGGATGTCCAAAGGCATACATGAGCTAGATCTTGACACTGCCAATGAACAGTACCGAAAAGTTTGCAGTCATCTCCGAGAAAGCCAAAATTTTCAGCCCTGTTGAAACAATTAACGTGCAATTGTGTGCTCATGACAACTGATTGCCACGTTGCACCGAAAGTATCACAGACATCTGTGCAGCGCATGCCAACCACAACTTCTGAGACCAACCAGCAGGTGGCAGTAAGACATCTCACGAATAGCGTTCATCAATACACCACCAAAGACATATCCAACAGATGTCTTAAAAAATAGCACTATTTCTGGGCGCGGTGCGCAGAAAATGTGTTAGAGATCCTCCCAGGAGGACTACGTGTTGATGCAAATATTTACTTGGGAAATACTGAGACAAAATGAATTATGGCCAAGGCAAACATGGTTGACAACGTGCATACAGTTTTGCGTCCAGAAAGAGTCTACCAGTTGGTGATCATTTTTTATCCGAAATTCCAGATGACTGGCGCAGCCACCTAATAGCATTGACTTCGTCAAAAAACCTCAGCACATCCGCCACCCGCCCGCCGCGGCAACGTCGCCGAATTACACTGAGCTCGTTCGCTAACAACAATAAGCAGCCCGTGCGCCGTCCGCCGGATCCCCAAAGGTCAGGTCGGCGCTGGCGAGCCAACTGAACGCTACTCCGGGGAGGGCAGGCTGCCCCGCGAACACACACACACATGCACACACACAAGGCGCGCCAGCTGGCGCCTAAGGTGTGGCTGCAGCACGCCGGGCAGAGGGCAGGACCACGGCCACCCTCCGTCCGCTTCGACACATCGCCGCCGGCTATATCAGGTCCATGGTGTTCTTCTTCTTGTCGTGCACCGGTGCCAGACGGTTGGGTTTCCTCGTCGACACGGGGGAGAAGCTGGACATACCTGAGGGGCAGCCACAGGACGCGTCAGCGGCTGCAACTTCCACGAGCAACTTCCGATGCAAATATTCCGAAACAGGTTAAAATTAGGCTTGCTTCCATGAGAGCTGGCACATTTATGCTGATAACCATGAAATATGGCATGGCTGCTGGCGCATATACTATGTTTTACTTTTCAACCATGCTGCCGGCGATATTAGCCTCCCAGTACGCTGACGAATTGTCAATATCGTTGAAAAGTGTTTTTGCTTATTGTTTTATATGGCGCAAACTAAGCTAGTGCTCCCTACGTCACAAACTAATTAAAGCGGTGCAGTTTCCTACACCTGCAACAGTATTGGAGCGGACTGGTGGCGCAATGAGGAAGTGGGGGGAACATGACCAACACGTTGAAACGCGGCAGACAGCATGGAAATTAGGTACGATAACTGCACTTCCGTAAATTTTCTGATACTGCCCACTTGACAACATAGTTGAAATACCAATGCAGTCTCAAATATTATGCCATCAAAGTTCACGCGGCACACAGGGCATGCATTATGCAACAATGCGGATGGATGAAGCGTGGAGCTGTTATTCAGATTCGAATGCGTCAAACGGGACATGCAGGCGCATGACATCATTCCACACCCACAAACGCCACAATGCAGGGGCTCTCCATTGGCTTAGGCCGGAGAGGGACGGAGCATACTTACCAGCTTGCCCCCGGCCCTGCCGCCAGTCCCACAGGAGACCCCCAACTGGAACCGCAGGAGAGGGACGGAGCATACTCGCCAGGCTGCAGTCCCCTTAAGCCAGTCCCACGAGAACGCTATTCAAGGCTATGGTAAGCCGCATTGCATAGCCCAAAATTCTGATGTCCTTGTTATCGCCTACAGATGTGTGTTTCCACATCTACATTCCCATATGCTCAAATTCACCACACACATATTTACTTCCACTTTGTACAAGGGAATACTCTAAGAATACGCAAACGAGGTCAGGCAATTAACAGACTACAGCCAGGCAGGGTATCTGAATTTGAAATCATTGGGAAATTATGCGTGTACCAACACCGCGATGATTATTGTATACAGGTGCACACGTCAGTGGTCGCGTCTCGGCCCTTTAATACGGCGACAGGTTAGTTGGCCAATAAACGGGCCCTGCAAATCGCCACGGACCTCATTACGCATGCGTTTGCTTCGCAATGCAGTACTCAATTATGCATGTATGCATTTCAAAGAACATCGACGATGGCAAATTAGTTATTGCTGGTACACAGCCATCTTGTCACTTTTCTAAACCACTCGACTTACTTCTTTGAACTATTTGGGATAAGCAACCTTTAGCGTATGATAATAGAAAAATAATGAAGTCCGTATTGGTAACAACCTACCCAGTACAATACCAGTGGTCATATATCTCCATAAAATCATCCGATAAGGTCTGCAATATTGTCCTCATATCACTGGGAACTCATCTCGAGCAGAACAACATATTTCCCTCAGTCGCCACGGAAGTCTGCTCATAGTGGTGAAAAGGACCTCTTCTGAACCGGAGGGCGCATTGTGCTCCAATGCTTCGTTATCACAAATGTCATGACACGGGCCTCCTGACATGCCGCGGACATCGACTGTCCCCGGTCTCCGCGCTTAGGCCGGGGGTCTTCTTTCACTCATGACACGGGTCTCCTGCCATACCTGGGCTCTCAACCACTCCAGATTCCCACACACGTTGTTGGGGGCCGTTCTCATCCAAAGCAGGTGTTTCCTGCAGCACGGTGACGTTGACGGTCATGACCAGCTGCCCTATCCACATCACTACTGCTGAACATGTACGACAGGCCTATCACGGCTTTCGGGGGTCCTCTGAAACTTAAAAACAAAAGAACGGAACAAGCAAAAAAAGAAGTGCGCACAGCTTGTTTGACGTTAACTCACCGGAAAACCTGTTGCACGCGACTGTTGCTCCGTGCAACTAACGACGAAGGAGCTTCTTACCGACTTTTTTACCGACAGAATAATCGGACGAAATAACTGGGGGACGTTACCAAAAGTGTCGTCGCCACGTAAGTGCCAGGGGAGTAAAGCAAGCCCCAATTATAGGGTGGGAAGTCGAACCTTCCCCGCAGTGGCTATGTGTCGGACGTTCTCCCTATTTACAATAACCATTGATAACCTCCCCCGGACACGGGCGGCACCACCATACGTACCTCCGACCACGCGGCCGTCGTTGGGATGCACCGTGGCCGACCCACCAAGCCTGGCGCATGCAGGGCGGCTCAGAGTTGGGCGCTCGCCGGCAGTGACGACAAAGACAGTCCAACGCTCACAGTCGGGCGCGCATCGGGCTGGCGCACGCACACCCAGTGCAGGGAGCAGGCGTGCACGGCCGGGGCGGGCAGGCGGGCATGGCCGGTGCGGTCTGCCGGCGCGCCAGGCACCGCCGGCCCGGGACAGTTTGTATCGGCGGCGTGGGGACGCGGGGCGCGAGGCCGAGGCCGCTGATCAAACTCCGGTCACCACGTCGTTAGCGGGCGTGAGGACGGTTGCCACGTGATGAGGATAACTGTCACGTGATGAGGACGGACAGGTGAGGCTAGCTGTCATGTGATGAGGACGGACAGGTAGGGACGGTTATCACATGATGACGATGGACAGGTGAGGATGTCCGTCACGTGACGGGGACGGCTAGTTGAGAACGACTGCCACGTCATAAGGGCGGCCAGGTGAGAACCGGCTGTGGCGAGATGAGGGCGAACAGGTGAGGACAGCTGTCGCGTGATAAGGGTCGGTGGATGAGGACGGCTGTCAAGTGATTCGGACGGGCCCCTTCCGCTGGTTGGAATGCACACGGCCACGGACCGAGCAAGGCGCATGAAAAAATAGCGGGAGACCGCAAAGGCCTGCGGTCAGATAGAAAGGGCAGGGCGTTACGAAAGATACATGTCCTGCCTGTCCTCACGCCGCTAGTGAATGCGTAGTTGTATGCACAGCATGTGTAAATAAGCCAAATGACCGCCTGAATTCTGGGTCGTACGCTCAGAATCGTGAATTTTCTGGTATGTCCGTGGATACGCAACAACCACGTGATGGGAAGAAACAAAAGATTTGAATAGCCCGGACAGCAGCGGGAGGTTTAAAACACCAACTGGCAGATATGTGAGCAGATTTTAGATATTCGTAAGGATTTTTACCGGCCTCATGCATGACTATTACAGAAATCCGGCATGAGAAACATCGCAACACAGGCGAGCGTACAGACGCTGCCGGCGGCAAACGGCGCCGCAAGGTCGCGGTCCTAAAGAGCCGGGCAGGGTCTGACAAGAGGAGAGGCCATGGCCTGCGGAGGCGAGGTCATGGCCTGCGGAGGCGAGGCCATGGCCTGCGGAGACGAGTTCATGACCTGCGGAGGCGGGATCATGGCCTGCGGAGGCGAGGTCATGGCCTGCAGAGGCGAGGTCATGACCTGCGGTGGCGGCGAGGGTTTGGCAAGCGGACCGGACATGGAGTGCGCGTGCGACCACCGCGCCGGGCGTGGCTGACAGGGGCATGGCGAGTGGCAACATCGCCCGACCACAACGAAAGCCAGGTACCTAGCCACTGCTTGGACGCCGACCAGAAACTCAGCGAAGTGTCCAGCAAGGTTTGGGAGCCGGAGGGGCTCCCGCTGCCTAAGCTCTCATTGGAGGAGTGCGCCTCTGGAACGCAGCAGGCACAGTGCGTTAGCGCTCGGCCAGTCTGCCGCCCGCGACCGCGTGCCACCCGCCCGTCGGGATACAAACCGCCCCGGGACCCGACCGGCCAGGCGGAGTCGCGGCACCGCCGGCCCGGAGGACGTGCGAGGACCCGCACACAAGCGCACGGCACGGCACGGCACGCAGCACAGAGCGGACGGGCAGGTCCCGGTCGGCCGGCGGGCGGGTGTACCGAAGCTCGTCAGTCCCAGGTGGCCGGTTGGGGAGTTGCCCCACGAGCTGCTCCTCGAACTGTTGCTGTTCAACGAACCGTTCAGCGAGCCGTTGAAATTGGTCAACGTGTTGAGGGCGTTGTGACTAAAGCTCATACCGAAGCTATTGCCCCCGTTGGGGCGCATGCGATCTGCAACTGACGTGGGAGCCAAGTTAGACGACGGGGGCGGGGATCACGCACCAGGGGCGAGCTGTCACATCACATACCGTCGTCAGGGATCACGCACCAGGGGCGAGCTGTCACGTCACTGACCGTCGTCAGGGATCACGCACCAGGGGCGAGCTGTCACATCACATACCGTCGTCAGGGGTCACACACCAGGGGCGAGCTGTCACATCACATACCGTCGTCAGGGATCACGCACCAGGGGCGAGCTGTCACGTCACTGACCGTCGTCAGGGATCACGCACCAGGGGCGAGCTGTCACATCACATACCGTCGTCAGTGGTCACACACCAGGGGCGAGCTGTCACATCACATACCGTCGCCAGGGATCACGCACCAGGGGCGAGCTGTCACATCACATACCGTCATCAGGGGACACGCACCAGGGGCGAGCTGTCACGTCACAGACCGTCGTCAGGGGACACGCATTAGGGGCGAGCTGTCACGGCACTGGCCGTCGTCAGGGGACACGCACCAGGAGCGTGCTGTCACGTTACCGACAGTCGTCAGGACTCACACATCATGGGCGAGCTGTCACGTCACCGACCGTCGTCAGGGGACACGCACCAGGGGCGAGCTGTCACGTCACCGACCGTCGTCAGGGGACACGCACCAGGGGCGAGCTGCCACGTTACCGACAGTCGTCAGGACTCACACATCATGGGCGAGCTGTCACGTCACCGACCGTCGTCAGGGGACACGCACCGGGGGCGAGCTGTCACATCACATACCGTCGCCAGGGATCACGCACCAGGGGCGAGCTGCCACGTTACCGACAGTCGTCAGGACTCACACATCATGGGCGAGCTGTCACGTCACCGACCGTCGTAAAACCATTTGTGGAACAGTGAATCCTCGCCGTGGATTAGGATGTAACCATGGCTCATTGGTGCACATGACGGCGGTTTCGCAGCAAAGAGGACTACCTTGTCTCGCTGGCACGCAATGTGTGTTTAAGAGCTGCCGGAGGATTACGGCTCTGAAATACCATCGCTGTCACGTGATCAAGACAAAATTGCTATGAATGTGTGCCAGGTATATCAGTCACGATAAGAACTGAGGAGCGCGCCACGGAGGCCATGTCGAAGAAGCGTGGTTCGTAATTATATTTCAATGGGTGCATGGATGATTGAATGAAGCGAATCCGGAGGCTGGTTTTTGATTTTGGCTTTCGCAAACACCTCACCTTGGTTAAGTTTGGCCGCTTTCTCCGCTGTTTGCTGAGTTTTGAACAATATTTCTGCTTGCCGGTTTCCAGCAGGTTTGAAATACTGTCCAGCGACATTCTCCTCAGCACTGCGTTCCAACCGCTGGAAGAGTAACGAGTTTGTGGTGGAACAGATCAGGGCTTCCATACTGCTTCATACCTTTATGTTGTCATTTTGAATGAAGATGAAATTCGATGACGTGTGGCTGGTGACAAGCAAGACACGAAAACACGAGTTATTAGACAATTGAAAGGGCTATCCATATCTGGCTGACTTACCTTGGGAGTCCGGTTGGAATGAAGGCAGAGCTTGAGGCTGTTTCATTATAGCAGCAGCGAAACCCAACGAACGAAGGAAAATCCTTCCTCAACCCTCAGCTAACCCGTGCGTCTTTCCCCGCCGGACCTACACCACGACCGTCGAGTGGAGCTGACCTTGAGGAACTTGTCCTCCTCCTCGCTGTCCCATGCGATGCCGAGTCGAGCCGGCGCCGTCTGCGAGGGCGCGCGGCCGCCGCTCTGTCCCGGTCCCTTGAAGCTGCTCAGACCGGGGCCGCCCAGCACACCGGAGGGGCCTGGCACCGGGAATGCAGCGGTTAGCGCGCAGGCGCCGGCAACCCCACGGTGCCGGGCCGAGGCTGCAGAGCCCCGCCGCTCACTCCACAGCCACAGTCGGCACACCAATCCGGCTGCCCTTGTGGGGTCAAGCTTTCTAAAACTTTGGTTGTACAAATTCAGTCGCCACTGTCTTGCTCGGATGCTTTTGGTGTCTAGAGTCAGCGCCCATGCTGGGCAGTGCTGGTTGCGTGAGGCCTGAACCCACCATCTGATCGTGTAATTTCGGGGGAACTGCAGAATTTGGTGACGAATACTTTAGCGTGCCTAGATGCACGGCACGGTCCGTCCTGCCCTTTGAAGTGACTTGTTCTTTAGCGCGGCCGCAGGCCAGCACAGTCAGGGGCCAATAGCAGGCGCCTTAAGCGATTCGAACCTACCCCGCCACGGATGGATGAATTGGGTGGCAGGTGCTCTAACCAACTGAACCGCTGGAAATCCTTGCCCATTGCGGAGACGGGTATTAGACACGTAATTTAAGGATTAAAACCCGTATGTCATCAGATGGCAATGTCCAATAGTCATGTGGCACGTACACCTGGCAGTTAGGGGCACACTGCGTCAGAAGAAGAACCCATTTTTTAAGAAAGCGCTCACGCCACCGGCGGCCAACAATGTAGAACAGGCTAGCGTAGACGTCTGATCCTGAAAGAGTCTGTAATTTTGGCTCACCGGCGGGCGGCAGCTTGGTCTTGACCACCTGGACATCGGGCAGCCGCCAGCGCTGGTCGATCTCGTCCCACACCGCCTGCTTTTTGATGGCCTCGACGTCGGCATAGTTGCAATCCTTGCGGATGGTGGGCTGCACGCGTTCCATCAGTTGCTGCATCAGCTTCAGCTGCTGGTCCTGACGCCGGATCGTCTCGAGGTAGTCGTCGCGCTCTGTGGCGAACTCCCGCTGGATGTCGCGGATCTCCTCCTCCTGTGCCCGCAACTGAGGACGGCGACGGCGGATGATGCCGTTCGTCCAGCGAGCAATGGTGCCAGTGAAGAGGACACTACTTGCTTCATGCGGGGGCAGCGGTGACATGCAGCCATGCCTGTCTTGCAGCGGCTGAATAATGATGCTACTTCTGGATATCAGCAGAACCAACAACCGCAATTATATCTAAAGATGTATGCAACGGCCGTAGCTTGCACCCAAACGCCAACAGCAACTGCAGGAATAGCTTCGGGAAACTGAGTAATTCAAGTACCGATAACAATAATGATCAGTGTGCATCACCTTCGAACAAAAACAGGAGGCAATGCTCGTGAGACTAGCTCTTTACTAACACCATGCTAAACGCGGCAGTTAACTCAATCACCGCGCCCACAGAGCCGGTCTCCAACCGCCCGACTGCACGTCTCACCCATACGCACCCGGACTTTCATCTTCTTGGCGAGCTCGGTGCGTGCCTTGAGCGTGGCCTGGACGTCATCGTAGGCCTTGACCAGGATCTCGTCGTCGTCCTCACCCTCGGCCGCGCCGCGACCCACCGCCTTGGCGATCTCCTTGCGACGTCGCTGCACCTCCTCGCTGACCTTCTTGCGCTTCTGTACGGCCTGCTGGTTGTTGGCCTGCTCCCCACCCACCATCTGATTCTGCAGCGTCTTCAGTCTGCGGAAGGGGAGGGGATGGGCTGAGCCGAGCCGAGCCTGTTGTGCAAAGCGGTCTGTATACACCACTAATGGGATGCACGTTGAGATTATGCTGATTTCGCCGCTGTTGTTACCGCAGCTGACGGCCTACATCAGGGCATGTGTTCTGATCTGCATGACAAACACGAATAAATAGACGAACGTGTAAAGTCACGCGGCAAACGACCGGATAGCAATTGCAGATGGTGTCAATCTAACAGTTTTGCATCTAATCAACTTCAGACTTGCTGCAAGACGTGAGCAGCCGTCCTAGGACATTTTAATGCGATGCGCGTACTTCTCGTATATCTCCGGATCGACGTTGTCTGGAATGGCGCCGCCGGTCAGCAGGGATCTCTGGTGTTCCAGCTCTTCCTGCGAACGTCCAAGCAGCTGATCAGGTGATGGCCGGCGTAAGCGTAGTGGCTCCCATCACTGCCCCGAGCCGCCGGTGCGCAGGACTATGTCCCCCGGCGACATTTCAGAGGTAATATCCTGTCCGACTGGCACGAATCACGGGCTGGTATGGCTACTGAGCCAGCTGAGAACGCTTTCATGTGTCATCGTCGACATCACATGCTTTCATTGCCACATGTTTATCAGAAGTGCATCATCCTCATAACCACAACAAGGTTAAATATTAGAAACGTGCATAACTCCCCTTTCTGCAAACGACGTAGCAACGCAACGGACTCTCTCCCCCTCACATTCAGCCACTTTTCATACTCCACCTTTGGTCTGTCTCTTTCAAAGCATCGCAGATACCACGACGCCAACAATGAGCCTGACCTTAAGCCTCTTTTCCCGCTCCAAGAACTCCTGTCTGATTTTCTCTGCTTCTTTTTCTAGCTTCTTTTTGTTTTGGCCTCCGGTGGATTCTCCTAACCTCTTCTGAGCCTCCAGCTCTTTACGCATTTTCTTCATTTCCTCTTCATACTCGGCTTTTAGCCTCTCCCTTTCTTTGGCAACAGCTTCCTCGTCCACAACTGAGAAAATGGAGAGAAATACATAGTACGTGTAAATGTATCGTGGCGAGGAGAGAGAAAATCTCGAAAAAATAACGCAACTGAAGAAGACAGGGGTATCAATAGTGCCAATGACAGAGTAAAAAGCGGGCACAGTGTTGCTCTCCGTAGACTATTTATCACCAATAATGCAGGAAAGCGTATGCAAAGGTCCGACCGCAGTGCAAGCAGCCGCTCCATCGTGATAAATGGTTATGTCAATTTGCGACGACAGGTCTCATTCGAGGAGCGATGGGGCAATGGCATGTCCTGAGGAGATGGAGAACACCTATCCTAACAATATTTTTCCTTTCTTTGACACAAAGGGCCCTCAAATTGGGGAGATGACCTCCAAGCAGCCCTTGACCTCCCCCGTGATGCAGTTCTGGATCCGCCCCTGCCAAGTTAGCCATCTACCGACCTTTCTCAAGCTGGGCGGGCGCCGGCGCACCACCGTCTCCAAGTTGCTCCCGTAGCTTGCGAATCTCGTCCTGGTACTCCCTGAGCAGCGTGTCCTTGGGGTCCTCGTTGATCTTGGGCTTGTTCTTGATCTGCTTGGCGCGGTTGGCGTAGCGTAGCGTGCTCAGCGTCTCGTCATAGTTGTTGTCGGCCGGCGAGAGGCAGGCCACCATCATGGTCTTGGTGTTGCCGCCGAGCGAGTCCTGCAGGCAGCGACCCGCCGTCAGAGCCGCCCGCGCCGCACCGTTTCGACCCGCTAACGTCGCCCATTGTCCAAAGGAAAGCCGTCTGTTTGTGGCGGGAGCACTGTCTCACGCCTCACGCGACGCCGACCTGACGCTTGAGCGGATTCGGTCAGCGGAAGCGATCGCCTAAGCCGGTGGATCACCGGCGGCGGCGGGTCAACTGTGGGGTGGTGACACCGCCGCCAGCGTGGCGGCAGCGGTGTCACCAGTCACACCAGTTCGCCTGCCCGCCCCGCGCCGGCTGCCGGTCGATGGCGGGTGAATGGGGTGCGTGGCGGCCACGCATGCCACCGCGCGTACAAATGGAACGGCCTTGCCCTAGATGCCACGCACGGCAGTCCCGACAACCCCCCCCCCCCCCCCTGGCCCGCCCCAGCGGTGGGTGGAACGGAGCGGCCCGCCCCAGTCCTTCACTGACGGCGCCGCGGCTGGTGCAGAAGGCGCCGCCGCCACACGCAGTCCCGAGAGGGTGCTTCTTGAAGCTGGGCGCCCTGGCCGGCGTGGCTCCTGAGGCCGGGCAGCGATACGGTCGAAACCAGGTCTGTGCCACACGCAACCGGGGAGTCGGCGCCAACAAAGCTAACACAGCTGGCGAATACGCGCTTGGCGCTGAATAAACATCGCGGACACACTTTTCTGAGCAAACATCCCATTGTCCCAGTTTCCCCTGCTATAAGCAATGTTTTGAAATCTAGAATCGCCAAAATGATACATCACGACAGCCCACATTCCAAAAAATGACGACGAAGAAGCAGAAAGTGTTGTAGCGACTCAGCGTTCATTCACGCTGAAACAATTGTTTGCAAGCGTTGATCTGTTACCCTTGCTAGGCCTAGTAGCAGGACGCATTGCAAAGCAACCGAGAAGAGGGATAATAGATCTTAAAAGGCCTGACGCGACGGGAACTCCGTGAGGGCAGCAACATTGCGGGCAACGCAGAAGATATCTCGTGAGTCAGGGGACCACGAGCCCGTGCTTCGATGGCAGAAAGAGTGGGACATGTACAAACACATCGGTCATACATATGTACATACATATTGGTCATGCACATGCACATACATATTGGTCACGCATATGTGCATATATATTGGTGTGGCATTGCAGACACAAAGAAAGAAAAACACGACGATAAATAGCCCAGCAGTTGTTGATGGTATCCTTCACTTCTGGCTTGGGTAATCACTGAGCATTCAACATGTATAGTACAGCATACTAGCACACAGTAGATTATAGGACATGGACAGCGCTTGATATCAGTGATAGTATGCGAAACTGAGGACATAACCCCAGGCGGTCCGCGACCAAACTAGAGGTGCTTGGTGTAATCCGACGTCCCAGTTGATGTAAACCAAGACTTATCTGGTGGGAGTAGTGGTCAGCTTGGTATGTTAGGCAGTGGATGACACTAGCAGCAATGGTGAGACCGCGGTCAGACCGAGGTCCTGGCAAAGTTTAGGTGTGCCAGTTAGCGACCCCGGTGAGATTATGGTGAGCAGAAGCCGTTTGCATAGCTTAAAGGGCGGGAGTTTGATTCGTAGGCGTGCTTACTCTAATTCAGGAGATCAACATAAACAACTAGCTACCTTCGTCTGTACCTCCCCGGCTAGTCAAGCTTCCTGTCTGCATCGACAGATTCAGCTGAAATTCATGGACGCTGAGCACCGACCTCCCCTCCACACCTTGAGAGCGGTCTTCAGCCGCCGAATCGCTCCCTCGTGCGCCGTCGCGCCAACTTCACGGCCGTTGGCCCGAATCAGCCGGGAACTCGAACCGTTATCCGCTGACCAGGTTAGAAAAACAGCGCCCGAGCCGGCCCTCGGGCGGCGGCCTAACCGACCCCGGTCACGCGAGCGTCGTGGCGGCGCAGGGTCGGTGGCCGACGCTCCGGCGGATGGGGCTGAGGCCCGGGGTCGACGGCTGACCCTGGTGGATGGGGCTGAGGACCAGCATCATCGGCTGACCCTAGCCGACGCTCCGGTCGATGGGGCTGAGGCCCGGGGTCGACGACTGACCCTGGCGGATGGCGCTGAGACCCAATGTCAACGGCTGACCCTGGTGGATGGGGCTGAGGACCAGTATCATCGGCTGACCCTAGCCGACGCTCCGGTCGATGGGGTTGAGGCCCGGGTCGACGGCTGACCCTGGTGGATGGCGCTGAGGACCAGTATCATCGGCTGACCCTAGCCGACGCTCCGGCCGATTGTGCTGAGGACCGGGGTCGACGGCTGACCCTGGTGGATGGGGCTGAGGACCAGTATCATCGGCTGACCCTAGCCGATGCTCCGGCCGATTGTGCCGAGGACCGGGGTCGACGGCTGACCCTGGTAGATGGGGCTGAGGACCAGTATCATCGGCTGACCCTAGCCGACGCTCCGGTCGATGGGGCTGAGGCCCGGGGTCGACGGCTGACCCTGGTGGATGGGGCTGAGGCCCGGGTCGACGGCTGACCCTGGTGGATTGCGCTGAGGACCGGTATCATCGGCTAACCTTAGCCGACGCTCCGGTCGATGGGGCTGAGGCCCGGGGTCGGCGGCTGACCCTGGTGGATGGGGCTGAGGACCAGCATCATCGGCTGCCCTAGCCGACGCTCCGGTCGATGGCGCTGAGGCCCGGGGTCGACGACTGACCCTGGCGGATGGCGCTGAGACCCAATGTCAACGGCTGACCCTGGTGGATGGGGCTGAGGACCAGTATCATCGGCTAACGCTAGCCGACGCTCCGGTCGATGGCGCTGAGGCCCGGGGTCAACGGCTGACCCTGGTGGATGGCACTGAGGCCCGGGGTCGACGACTGACCCTGACGGAAGGCGCTGAGACCCGGGGTCGACGGCTGGCCCTGGTATCTGCAGATATCAACAGCGACGCACGCCGACGGCATGTGGGCTGGAAACGAAGTCCGGTGGCACAGGTCGTGGATATCCCGGATTTTTTCCGACGTCACAACACGAGGCTCTGATCGGACCGCAGTTGACCTTGTCGCATCCTTCTTGACCTTCTTCTCAGGTGGCACACGAGATGGTCACAAACGATCGGCTACGAGCTTCTCGCTGGCTGCTGCGTAGATCTATGCGAGGGACGACCAGCGATATGCATAATTTATTCGGCTGAGCCGACATCACGCGTACCACACAGAAAGAACCGCCACCTAGACGGAGCCGTTCACACAAGAGAGCACCGACATCCTTGAGCCTTGCCTGTAGTAGTCGGGTGAGTTTGGAGTCCCGGTAGGGTATGTGCTTGCTCTTGCCGTCCACCAGCGCCGAGATGACGTTGCCCAGCGCCGACAACGAGAGGTTAATCTTGGTGGCCTCCTTCAGTCGGTCCCCAGTCGCGCCTGTGGCATGGCTCGTGTCAAGATTAAGAGCAACTATCGGCGCCATGCCCATCGTATAGGATAGTCGAATGATGCGTGTGCATGCTGATGCAGCCAAATCCATACGATGTCAGCAGGAGGTTAGATGGAGGTACTGGAATAAGCCGTTTTTTGTTGTGATTGGGGACAGCGTGTTTTGTGAAGTCGGCATTTTCATGCATGATCTTTCTTATTTACTAGCATTGTGATAGAGTTAACTTATACCGACTCGCAATGTAAAAAAGTGCATGCGCTCGCAACGTGTTGGATTATAACGTTTTAAAGTTAAAGCAGATGAGGATTTCTGAAATCCGATTTCAGTTTGGTTGCTCAGGGCCTCATTGCAAGGCATGGCGGGATCGATGCGTACCGGCCCTCATGACCATGGCTGTGTCCGAATTTTAAGGGAATAGTCAACCATCAATATATCCTTATTTGATAGCAACGTATTGCTGAAAGATATCGTAGGCATGTCCCACAACGCTGTAACGGTTATGGCAACATGAGTGCAGAGTTTATTGTTACAGATCTTTTACTAGAATCAAGAGAAGCTAATGGGAAGGTTGATGCCTAAATAGAAAGCGCACGGTGTGCGACGTAACTTGGTGTTCTGTCATGATACCGCAGGCTGGCTGATTTGCTTTATATGGTGAGCATATATCGTTACCACAGAACGTTTTTACAACCGATCACCTGTTACTGGCTTGGGTATAGGGTGCCGGTAGTGTAATGGTTAAGGCGTTTGCGTTTACCACTGCACGCCTGGGAAACCAGAGGTACGGGGTTCGATTCCCCGCTTTGCCCGCCCTTCCTACCATGGCGAGAGGCAGGCGACGCCATATAGCCTCAGCAGCTGAGTGCGTCGTAAAGCCCCAATGACACTGGCTCGGGCATTCTGCCAACCACACCCGTTTGTGAGTTACGGGTTACCCCTCACCACTTCACGGCTCAACATGGAGAGTTTAGAAGCATTAAGAGATAATCTACAGGCTTGGCATAAAAATCATCAACATTCGCGGACGAATTAACAGCTAACTATAACATCGGTAAGATTGGTTGTATAATGTTTTAGCTGGCACTCAAGAAAAAGCATGTTCTCGCAGGTCAAATTCATACTGCGATGTGGGTAAAGGTCAAATCAAAGTCAAGTTAGGTCTGGTTTACGTGACCTCATTAGACATGATGGTTTCTGGTCTTGGAACGAAAAGGAGGACAGGGAGGTGAAGCCTCCAAAATTTTCCGAAAATTTAACACTGACATATGAGCGTCGACTAGAAAGAAATAATCAAAGGGTGCATCGGCCCAACATTGGCAAAACTGCCGTAGTACCATTCTGCAGTGGTAATTTGTTAAGAGACACGCAAGTTATATCGTGTATGGCACAAATGAGCGGCATACATCCTTTCGGTTCGATGGTTATAAGATGACCTCAAATAAATTGTTTTGTTGACCTCAGGCTTGATGTAACCCGCTATAATGCGACTAACCCAGACCGGCAAAAGCACAAACGTTGGAATAAGTACATGAAACTGCCCCAAACAAAAAGAGTCACAATCATTGGTTGCCTGTGGCAGGAAACGTTGTTGTACGAACTCTCACTGATAACGTTATGACGCCATGAACTGTCCCAGTATCCAAATATTTCAGCCGTTTCAAAATGCTTGAAAATTAGCTTTTCAGAATAACCAGAATGTAGTGGGTACGCCTGGTGCGGTTCGGAAATTATTCCAGAAGCTAGGAGCTGGGTGTGCATTTAACCTTCAGTAGGCTGCATTTTAAAGGCGGTTTAAGAGCAAAGTCTCGAAGTGCAGCTACTCCTTGTAAAATACGCATGAACTGTTATGAACGTTACGGTTATAGCTTAAAGGGGACCTAATCAAAAGTACAAAAACGGAAGGCAGCAATCTTGGCTAGGTGGGTAGGATTTCATGCTCAGAACGCTTCAGAGCTAAGGGATTTGAAGAGGGAGGTAAAATGTGAGTGATGCTGTTACAGCCATGGGTGATTTTTGTGCCCCGTTTGGGACTTAGCTTCTAATGTTTGTCTTCGCCCTCCACTGCAGAACATAAAAGAGGAAGTTGGAAAAGGAAAAATCCAAAATCTGCGCTGCTCCACAATTTGATCTTAGCCCCCTGCCGCCTGCCGCCTGCCGCCTCTTGCATTAAAAGACTGTGTTACAGCTGACGGAGCGTCCGAGGGCTGGAAGCCGTCTGGGCGTAGCAGGTTGCGCCATGACCCCTGTGAGCGATATGAATAAATCCAGTCGCTGGCGTTCAATGAAAGGGACGTGACGATGTGTGTCGCGGTCCTTTTCCATCGAAAATGGAGCCGGGCGGCTCCAGGCCGGGGCCGACCGGCAGCTGGCGCGCAGTGCAGCCCCGTTAAGACGAAGTGTGTAAGAATGCAAAACAGCGGACGAAGCGGGCGGGAGGGCGGATGCAGAATGGCGGATGCAGAGCGCGGATACAGAGGCAGATATAGCAGATATAGAGGCGGATACAGAGGCAGATATAGCAGATATGGAGGCGGATACAGAGGCAGACATAGCAGATATCGAGGCGGATACAGAGCGCGGATACAGAGGCGGACACAGCGGATACAAAATATAGAACACGATTCGCTTTGTTTCCTCAGCAGCCTTAGGAAGCTGACCAGAGCATGGCTACTGGAACGAAGGGATGAATATGCTGTGACTACCGGTTTACGGGAGTCGCGAAATGAAACTTTGTTGGAAAATTCCGCGGGGGAGTCAAGATGGGTGGAGCATCTCCCAATTTGAGAGGAATGGCTATAAGCAGCATATGTGCTTTCCATGTGGCCCTGAAGATATTTAAAGCGTTCCTGGAGACCGTTCCTCCACTTGATCGATGTGGATAGCCCAATCATAAACTGAAATGAAATGAAAAGCGTGTATTATGATTACGCTCTTAATAACAAAGTCGTGTTTCTCCGGTCACCTACAAGTGTATTAAGAAAGATATGATGTTATTTCAGGGATGGTTTTCCAAGAGCCTGGGTCCTACGGCTTCCACGGGGTGGACACGTGTGCCACTTGTGGAAGAGGCACAATAAGTACATCGGTAGTTGGCAAGACCAGTGTTTGTCCATGCGAGCTTTGTTTTGAGCAAAGCATGGCATAAGAGTCCAAAATTGTCCATGGCCAAGTAGATTGTCCGTCCCGATAGCTCAGCTGGTTAGTGTCTCCCTCCGAGTCGTCCAACCGCGGTACCCTTGGGCTTGGAACACTTTAATCGCTCGCTATTGGCCGGTGGCAGCGACCGCTAAAGGTCAGGTGACGTCCGAGGCGAGGGCGGAACGTGCCGAGCATTACGGCACATAAACCTTCGCAGCAGAATCCTGTCGTGTACCTGAAATTTCACAATCGGTTGGCGGGATCAGGGTTCACGCAACACACATTGCTAAATGCGTAATGTGGACTATGATCCCAAAAATCCATCCAATAAAAGGGTTCGGACAAAATCTTTAATAATCTGTAATATATATATATATATATATATATATATATATATATATATATATATATATATATATATATATATATATATATATATATATATACATATATATATATGCATATATATATATATATATATATATATATATATATATATATATATATATATATATATATATGTTGCGTACTGCTGACATACCGGGCTGTGTTCTGGCCATGCAAATTGGTAGCCGGTTGTTGCGCATCTCTATTGATCGTTAACTACATGTATGCATGGTCATTTTGACGCCTTTTCTAAAGCGGTTGTTACAAAAGTGGGGTGCAGAGTGCGCTCTTCATCTCAGGCAAAGCATTGGATGCCGTCGGCGCAGGAACCCACCCAGGATGTTGCGCACACGAGTTATTCATTATCGCCTTTCTGAGCTTGTTCCTGTGAATTCTGATCGCGATCATCCACACGAGAATTGGTGATTCACCGTGCGAGACATGTGGCCCTAAAAAACTAACAAGAGCTTTCATGAGAACCTGGTCTATTAACTGCATTCTGCGGTAGGCACCCAACACTATGGCTGGGAATTAAGTGAAGGTGTGAATAGGCACTTGTTCCTGGCAAAAAAATGGATAATGTCGTAGTTACTGTTGGTTCCTTTGACGGTCCTGCAAAACAGGACCGCGGTTCCTGCTGGGTTCCTCCACCTTATCCCGGGTTTATCCTAGCTTGTTTTGCATCTCTTGCCATATTGTAAGCTGACTATCGGCTGTTGCTGGATCACTGGGCTAGTCCCGAGCTAAACCTTGGCTTCTGTTATTATTATACCGATGCTTGTTACTGACTGAATCCAGGCCCCTGCTGGTTCCTCAGTATCGTTCAGTGCCTGATTCTGGCCCTTGCTGAATCCTGCGGTTTGAGTCGAGGCTGCTTTCTACGTTCTCACTGACTCAGGAATTGAACTTTCATATTTGAGTCCACGCCTTCTCAATTATAATCCTGCGTGTCAGAGCTCTGGAGTATTTGGACTTGATTTTGACTACGTCATAAATCAGGTGCTCTGACTGGTGTGCCTGTGCCTCACGTGAGTGCTATTCAAAGGGTCACGGTGACGGTACGTATTGGCATGAATAGCTCCGTTGCACCAGTGCCAAAGCAAATCCATGGCGCCGCTGGAATGTAGACATCATTGCTCGGTTTGATGTCTTCCAATCTAACGCTCGCCATCACAGATACTGCTGCCTTTTGTGAATAATCGACCAGCCTATTTGACTTGGAACAGCCGATAAATCGATCTCTAGACTCGGTAACGCCCGAATCGCTGACAAAATGAGGGCCCCCAATGATGCCTTTCTGGGCTGCTACGACATCCGAAGCTGCAAATGGTGTGTGCCGCTCCCCTCCCCCCCCCCCCCCGGCCCGTCCTCCACAGAGCGGCCCGCACAGTGCACGTAGCCGGCGCACCGTGGCCGTCGAGCCGCCGCCGCGCCGTGTACGTCACACAACAGGCCGGCCCGGCCACCTTATGGCATGGATCGATGCCGGCATAACCAGCTGGCCCCCGCCGAATCGGCGGCTCGCGCCGGCCGCGGCACCGGCGTGCGTGTCGCCGGCACCTGCCGCCACCGCCGACACGCCCGGGCACAGAGCGATGACGACAGAGCGCCAACAAACCGAGAGAAGCTGCTGGGGGCTGGAGGCAATGTCTCATAATATAGGCTGTTGTATGAATGAAAGATTGCATTGAATGCCAGGGTCGTCATGACCGCATGTGTCAATAGGGATGGAAAGCGTCCTCGAATAGTGCACTTTCAGCCGGCCACTGTGCATTCCAAATTCCCCATCGAAAATATTTTGCAAGTCAACTATGGTAAGTCGAACTTATGAATGTCATGTGACATTGACTATTTCGGGCATACGGCACGGAAACACTGCATCTCACAAACCTTAATAAACACATCACCACATAGACATAAACACATAAACACGCATCCTCTGCTTTGTGAAATATTGAGCATTGCTGGCATGACGTGTAGATCTGTATCCAGGACATGGACCCTCAGCCACCTTCCAAATGTGCTGGTACTGAGCCCAACCCCTCACTTCTTCCTTCCATACCCCCAAATCCCAGCTTACGGAGCCAGCGCATCGATGCTCTTCATAGATGACCTGTTGGTTTGCCCTGGATGTGTCTGCCGCGACAGCCGAAAATGGCCAGGATCGTCCCAAATCAATACGTAAGCGTAAATGCCACGGAAAAATGCGGGCTTCCAACCGCGGAAGTTTATTAAGAGCTCCTTATTCCCGCATGCAGATTAAAAATAGCTTATCATTACTCAAATAATTGCATAGCGCAGGAGTAAGCTAATTGTTATGGGGCTCGCCGGAAAGCGATGCAAGCAAGAAGCCGTGGGAAGTGCGTTCTGAGGCCTGGGCTGGAGCAATGCAAACAGCACGTCCGGAAGGGTGAGCATTTGCGATTGAGCCCTGTGTGCCACTGGAGCCGTGGGAAGAAGGCGCAGGCTGAGCGACGGGCGTTACTGCGTCCCGCACAATCTGAGAGCGATGCGCAGCTTGTGCGCAAGCTTCCGCACTTCCGCAAGCTATCTAACTTACACACGTTTGAATACCTCAAGCCTTTTGAATTTCGTCCCTTGCCGCGTGAATTACTTCACCAGGGCCTAAGAGCCGATTCAAAGCAGCCACATGTGGATTGGGCACGGTCCCAGCTTTGAGTGATGACGCTGTGCTAGGTCGTCATGCTGGGTCGACCCCGCCCCATTCCATGAGCTGCGTATGAGCGCTATCCATCATCGAGCCGGCACCGACGGGCTCACGCGAGCGCTCACTCCAGTCACCCCTGCCTGTCTGTGCCTCCCTCCCTACAGTCAGCTGACGTCGCACACCCCCTCCGGCCCTTCCCGGCATGCACTGGTGTCAGCGCGGACCCGCCTTGGTTTGTCCTTACCCCCGTCACATACAACTCTACGCCTGACCCAAAATCGGATCAATCCGTACCTGGCTTAGCCCGTCCCCATTCCCCCCATGCAGTATCTGTCTTGCCATGTCCACACTATCATCCCGTATCTGGGTTCCCTTGGCTCTACTCCCATCATCCCGCGTCTGTCCTGACCTATCCTCATTCCCGCCAGGGCGCAGCTCTCCCTGTCCGAGCCCGCTCCCGCCGCTCTGTACCTGTCTTGGCCTGCCGCTCCGAGCCAGCCAGGTCGACCAGGTTGAGCTTGCCGGCACGCAACTGGTCCTTCCCCTTCTTCGCCGGCGTGATCATCTCCAAGAAGATGGTGAAGATGGAATGCGAGCGCGACGAGTCCTTGTTCATCAGCGTCTCGCCGGTGGAGCGGTTGTTCCAGCCCTTCTGCATGAGCATGTCGCAGTCGTCCTTGTTGTGGCACGGCTGCCGGCTGAGGTCCTGCACGTAGACGCCCTTCTCCGGGTGCTCCTTCAGCTCAATCTTCTTCTTGGGGTCGTTGCCCAGCAGGTCGCGGATCTCCTCGTTGTAGATTTCGAGGTACGAACCGTGAACCTGAAACGTGGTGAGGGGAGTTAGCGGTCGAGCACGGCGGTTCTGGGGTGGAGAACCAGCTGGCACACCTCAAGCCCGTTGGCCCTACCTTCCTGCAAGTTGCTGAACTTAACCGTCACGACCATCCCACCGCAGAAACTTAGTGACCAGAATGATGGTTTGCAAAGCATGACATTGGACCTCAAGTCATGCGTGTTATGTGTAGTATGCTTGGCTTTTTAATGACCGTGAGAGTTTTCGGTTATGCGAAACCCTAGTACCGATCGCCGTCAGGTAATTCGTTAGTACGCGACGTATGCCAGCTGTTAATGCCTCGCTTCAATATGAATTTATCTATGAGTTCATGACTCGAGCGTGGTAACTCATATCTTGCCCTGCAGCATCACCTAATGTTCCATCAGCTGTGCTCAATGCACATCATGCTCGGCCTGTCCGCTTCCCATCATTTTCTCACAGAAACGTTAATTCTAAGCGTCACCAAAGCGTCGAATCATCGTTTACCCGTAGTGTATACTGCCCCGGTAATGACGCCATGCCACTGGGGGCAGTATGCGGTAATCCTCACCAGGTATTTGGTCTCGGTGGACGTGCTGATGACATCAAACACGTGCTCAAAAGCTCGTGGGATGAGCCCCAGCTGCGTGGGCGGGTCGGGGATGCCCTGCATGGAGAAGGACTTGCCGCAGCCGGTCTGGCCGTAGGCGAAGATGGTGCCGTTGTAGCCCTCCAGCGTGCCCTCAACTAGCGGGTAGGCCATGTCCTTGTAGATGTTCTCCGTGATGGAGTCCATGTAGTATACGCCGTCAAAGGTGAACGTCTTGGGCGGTGCGTTCTTATCCCCGGGGTTGATGATGGAGACTTGCATGACACTGTCGTCCATGAAGACGACGACCTGCAGACGGAGGGTGGGAGGTGGCACGGGCTTCCAAACAGCAGCACACGCCCTCAAGCAGTTAGGTTGTATTAATGCATATAATAGATGCGGTAAGGGGAGCACGTGGCCTTGGGGTGCACCACGTCTGCACACTCCTGAATAGTGGTTCAAAGATCGCTGGTGGGGACCACCCAGCACCCAGACCACATGAAGCATGGACGGCCAGGAATGGTCGAACTGGCCGCGGTGTTGGCGCCGATGAGTAGTCTCCGTTTAGAACATCCAGCCAACCAGCGCCACTGAGCCCGCGACAAATCACAACGGTGTCACCACACATTGGCTAGGGTGGACGTTCGCAAAGCACGCTTGCTGCAAACTTGTCTATGACTAAACACATGGTGAATTGTCTCATCTGCCGCTGTTGCCAATCGGTGCATATGTTCGTATCATTGCATATTTCCAATGCTGTGTAAATTCGTTGTGCACGCAACGAACAATACGTACGTGTTTTATCCAAGTACGTGCTGTCCTTGCATGCGTCGTATCCAAGCAATGCTCGCGACTTCCATTAAACACAACACACCCAGTTATTAGCATGGACCAAACCTTCCAGGCACTTCGGATGGCTTGACCCCGCCCCTCCAGCACTTCTGAACATTACCAATGCATTTAAAGACGTTGGGGAGGAAGAAGTGGCTCGAGACGTGGTGTGCCCCAACGATTGTGATAATTTCCACCGCTGCACCAACCCAATCAGGGTACTCCGCAGCTATGAGATATCTGTAGTTCCTTTCACAGAGCAGCTTCTCGACCATCACAAGCAGCTGAATCGCTAGGCTTGTTTCAAATGCGCAGCCGTTTTGCCTCTCTCCCGATGCACCGCCCAAGTGAATATTCATTTACTTACTCATACTCGGGGCGAATCAATGTCTATGTTGTTTTCAGCAAGGGCTGGCTGCGATGGCAAACACTGGAAAATTTTGCCCTATGCAACGATCGTCATTGTGGTATTATGCCAATTGTTTTTGTCAAGTTGTCGATAAATCAATGCCGATCACATCCTAGTGGCTCAGTTCTTATGAAGCCGGTCGTCTAGTGGTCGCTAGCACTCGGGTTGATTGGCTCCGCCCAAAATACGGCCCTGCCAGAGCGCGCGCGCCTGGCAATAACTGCGTTGTGCCCTCTGTTATGTATGCGTGACGAAATGGACGCCACAGTTTACCTGCCCTGAGCAGCCATAACCCGACCATCAAAGACTGCTGGACAGCAGGCGGAGGGTGGAGACACTCGCACGAAAGTCCGACCTAGAACGGCGGAAGTTTGCTCATCGCCATCGGCCGGGCCGAAGCGTCGGCCCGAGTCGAACATCCGCCGCCGCCGAGAACCGGAGAGCCGTAAAAACTTTGGACCACCTTGCTGCTTGAAGCCTGCTGGAGCCTGCTGCTTGAATTCAACCGCCCTGGACTTCGAGCAGTCCTTGCTAAATCGCACTGGATGGCTTTGCTTTCCCACTAGACATGTGTCACGTCATTAAAGGCAGCAATGTTGCTTCGGGAACGCATCGCATTCCACAGAGGGCTCATTCCGAGTCAACTCATTAGCCTGATCGACAATGATCGATTCAACATACATCTTGGAGCATTCTCAACCCCTTCGGAGGGAGGTATGTTGTGCCTCCATGGCGCGTCGCGGCCGCTCGGCGCCGAGCGCCAGATGTGTGTGTGTGTGGGGGGGGGGGATACCTCCTACCTCCTATACCTCCTGGGCGGTATCTGGGGGGGGGGGGGGGGGGCAATCCGGGGGTCGTGCTGTAGACACGCGCGCGGCGCCCCTCAGTCGTCAGCCTGTTGTGGCCGTGTTGGCCACCGCGGCCAGTCGCTGACGCCCACCTCAGGATGGTAACGCTGCATGACGGCCTGCCGCGCGGGCGGCGAGAAGCGCGCGCCGACCGCAGACCTGCACCACACACATGTACCTCCTGCAGGGACCGACACAGGCGGGGAATCAGGGTTTCGCTGGTGCCGGCGGCATGGGGAATGACGCCGAGACCGCGCATTGAACCCAGAGCTGGGTAGGGCGGGCCGGGGACGGGGACCGTAGCAAGGTCCAGGGCAGATGCGTGTGCGGGGAGGGCAAACACGGCTGTAGGAGGATCGGGAGTCGGAAAAGCAGCTGTGACCTACGACGTCTGGTGAACCGGGCCTGGTGCGCAGTTCAGGACAGGTATCCGTCGGGATTGAAAAGCAGCTGGGACCTACGACGGCTGGTGAACCGGGCCTGGTGCGCAGTTCAGGACAGGTATCCGTCGGGATTGAAAAGCAGCTGGGACCTACGACGGCTGGGAAACCGGGCCTGGTGCGCAGTTCAGGACAGGTATCCGTCGGGATTGAAAAGCAGCTGGGACCTACGACGGCTGGGAAACCGGGCCTGGTGCGCAGTTCAGGACAGGTATCCGTCGGGATTGGTACGATGGCTGATAGGCGCAGGCGCCAGAGTACAAGGATACACGCCGAGGCAAGTTGGTGTGCGAGAGGTGAAAGGGGAAGGTGACAGTACACATAAGTCAGACGAACTTCGTGTCTGGATGTCGTGGTAATATGGTTTAACAGCTCTCCAAAAGAGGCAGGCTGCTAGATATGTGATGAAGCGTTCAGAAATCCGAACTCGTGCCGGGATATCACGACTTCGCAAACGACAACGAAAAAAAAAACACGAACTTCAAACCAGTGAGGGAGCATGGTGCAAGGCACTTCGTTCCTTTTAAGCGCCCACTTGGGATCTCTGCCGTCTTTGCGTTCTTTAGGCCGAATTGGCTCTGAAGCCTATGCGACCGAGCGCTTATAATGGATGGGTACTGCGTCGAATGGACTAAAACACAAAGCCATTATGAATTGAATGAAACGTCGTTTTACAACACATAATCCCATTTGCCTCGATATTGCGTGTTTCAGTACATATATGAGAGCATTAATATTTCAACAATATGATTCATTGGCGTCTTACGGACAGCGTGCAAAACAGGGAACACGTGTAGTCCTTTGAGTAAATGTAAACCATGGGATCTGCGACTTTAATCGGTGACAATGCCGTCGTGTACAAACGAACCTTGTTATCTTGATGGCTCCTTCCATGCATATGGTCGTCGTGTCGTGCAATATCAGATCACTCAAAGTAGCTACACATAGGTACCAAGAAGACGCGACGGAACGGGAAGCGCCAATACCAGCCGGATACAGGAGTCGGGGTCAACAATGGGACAAGGGCCACTGCCGTCTTTGGTGCGTTCACTGCCAGCGGCGTGGTCTGCGCCTGTGCAGCAGGAATCAATCGCCTCAGAACCAATTCGGGTTTCGTGTTTCTCCCAAACGGCAGCGCTCACAGGCGAGAGCATCGTAGCGTCGCCCATTGGCTGGTGGTTACTGTTCCGTGCCGTGCCTCCCCCGCACCGCCAGCTCGCAGCCCCCTGTTGCCCGCCGGGTCTCTATGGCGACCTCGGCCGGACACGCGTGCGGCGCGGCCACCGCCCCTGGCCGGCCGGCCGTATTGATGCCCGTCTCTGTGGGCTACCGGCCGTCCCAGTGGCCGCTGGCCTTGGCGGACGTCGGCAATCGATGGATGAACACCGCACAGCAGCGCTGACGAGCGCTGAACGGCGCAGGACAGCAGCGCCGGAGCGCGCTAAACGGCGTAGAAAAGCAGCGCCGGAGCGCGCTAAGCGGCGCCGGACAGCAACGCCGGAGTGCACTAAACGGTGACGGACAGCACCGCCGGGACGCACTAAACGGCGCCGGACAACAGCGCCGGAGCGCACTAAACGGTGCCGGACAGCAGCGCCGGAGCGCACTAAACGGTGACGGACAGAGTGGCGGACAGCAGCACCGAACAGCAGCTCTGCACAATACACAGCAGCGCCTGACGCGCGCTGAACGGCGCCGCACAGCAGCGCTGGACAACTCACAGCAGCGCCAGGCGGGCGCTGAACGCGCCGAACAGCAGCGCCGGGCCCCGCCCCGCGGCGAGCCCGGCCAGCGCCGTCTCAGCCGCGCTGGCCGGAGCGCGGCAGGTGTCACCGCACTCTCGAGCGATCGAAGTCGCGACTTGGAGCCCTCAGATCGTCGTGCCGCTCTATGTCGCCCCATTCGCTTTACAAGCGGACTTAAAAGGAAGACTGTCGTGGTTTTGGCCGCTGATAATATGTCCCGTTCTGACGTGAGGATCTAAATCGGGTTGTATCAACCAGCCATGGACGCTAATTAGTGTAAGTCCAGCCAATTAGCGCTCTTTCTAGCACACGTGAAAGGACAATCTTTGAGAAAAGCCTGTCCAAGGACACGCGCGTGACTTTTGTGAAGGACAGTGCACAGCGTACTGAATATTTCATCCTCCTTCTCATCGATAATAGCTACAATAGTGGCACACCTCTGTTCTCTTCCTACTTCCACTGGCGGCTGGATGTGTTTGTTGGTGTGTTTGTTTGTTTTCACGAAATAGACCAGTTTTACAACTACTGAGAATTTTGCTTCTGTGACTTTGCTGATGTCCGTGAGCCACCTGCGTGACGTAGTCTGCATATATATATATATATATTAGATACACTATTACAAAAGCAGATATTGCAATTTTTCGACCCTACGACCAAAGCAAAAAAGCACGAGCAAGGCTAGGAGCAAGTGAAGACAAAACGGGACAGCAACAAAAGCATGTATATTGACCATCTACAAAGAAGTAGACATATTTCTGTCCTTCTACCTCGACGATTGAGTGCAAGGCTTGGAATTTCTGCACATATTTGTTTATTTGCTGTACGGCAGACTTTTTAGGCGTGAAGCTCACATTGTTTTTGGGCCACGCGTGCACCTGCAGTAAACGAAGCACATGCCATTTGAATATCAGTCGCAAGTGGAGTTGATAGGCTGGTGGAGTACTGCTTCAAAAGTCGGTGTGATATGCGGAGACGATGCTGATGCCGTGCGCGGAGGTCGGTTGACACGGATGTTACTATCGGCTGGGGGACTGAA